TTTTCCACATCTAATCAGTGTCTCCAAATAACTTAGCTGCCCAATTCACAACAGACAATTCTTGTCACATCCCTTCAAAATTTGCTTTTTTGAAATTTGTAACCAAAATATCATTATTCCATATCTCCATATGCAGGAAAACATTGAACCTAATAGAGCAATGATCACTTGCACCCAGATGTTCCCCATTTTCCACCTTCTCAATCATTTCTGTATTTGAAAATAACAATAAGTATAAAATAGCATTTTTTCTATTTGGTTCCATGACTAACTGGTGAAAAAAAGCCATTCTGAACAGTTTCCAAAAAATCTTTCTCCTTCATGATTAACTCTAAAATTTCCCAATGTATATGCCTGAAATTAAATCACCTATAATTATGACTTCATTAACAACTGAAATCTTAATCTCATTGTAAAGTTGGTGGTCTCTAACAAATCCCCACTAAGAGTCTTTTCCCTTTATATCCACCAATAGAAACCCAAATTGATTCAATCTCTTTGCTATTGTCTTTGATATCCTCAACTTCAACAGGATGTAACTCGCATCTTACATATAAAGCCACTCCTCCCCTCCTCATTAATACTCTATCCCTATTAAATAGCCTGTATTCATGTATTTCAAATAAATTTCTGTCATTAAAATCATCTACATTTAACCATGTTTCAGTTATTCCCATTATATCAAAATCCTCCATTCCTACCAGTGCTCTAAAGTCATCTATTTTTATTTCTTATACTTTTAGCATTACAATAGTAACAATTAAGTCTACCCTTATAACTACTTCTATGCTCATTTCCTATGCTAAACTTTTCTCTGCCTCTTATTATTTTTGCATTTAGTTTTCCTGCCCTCACCACTGTCTAGTCTTAGTTTAAAACTTCCCATACGGCTGAGTTAATAGCCTTAGCAAACAAACCAGCCCCAACTCTATTTAAATGTAAACCATTGATTCCAAAAAGCTCCCTTCTTACAATGAACTGGTCCCACAACTCCAACCAGCTAATCTGCTCAACCTTACATACTAACCTAAGCCTAGCATTTAGCCCTAGTGACCTACTTATAACTTCATTTCCACAGTTAATTCTGGGCAGTATTGCTGACAAAATTAAATTTTGGTCTTTTTCTTTAAATGCCTTTACTAACCTTTGTACGTATTAATTAGCTACTCTGACCTACCTTTCCCTACATCATTGGCTCCTATGTGCACCACAAAAACTGCATCTCTGCTAGCCCCCTTTATTATATCTCCTGCTCTGTCAGTTATATCCTCCACCTGTGCCCCTGCATAGCATAATCTGATTCTTTTCTCCCTATTTAGTCCACAGACTATTCTATCCACATTCCTTATCAGGGAATCACCTATAACTATAACCTTCTTATCATCCATATCCTTCTCTGACCCTTTTGTTTTCTTTCCCTCCAATAGTTTCTCATCTGCAAAAGCCAAGGGCTGAAATTTGTTGCTCAACAGAATAGGCCCATTAAAGCTAGATTCACTACTTTTTACTCTAATAGTACTCTTTCTAACTTCCTGAAAGTCATTGTTAGCTGATGTATCTCTTGCATGTAAAAGCTTAAGCTCCTTCTGAAATCTTGCTGCCATTTCCCACAGTCTACACTCTTTATCTATTGCCTCTACTTTATTCATGATGTCCTCCAACTTCACCTCCAACCTACAAACTCTACTTAAAAATTGCACATCTCCATTACTAGCTTCCATAAAAGTACATGTCAGTCCCGAGTTTCCAAATAAAACCCATTCTTTGCATGCATTACACCTAACAAACTGTTTACGCTTAACTTCTACAATAGTTTTAACCATTCATATTTATATCCTGAAAATAAATATTCGATACCAGTAGCCTATTGTTAACACTGTTACTGTTAAGCCTAATGTTTAAGAACCAATTATATTATTTGTTATCACTACTTTGTTTTCTTACTAAAGTAATAAAGTTTATCTTTAATTATATAGAACTTAATAATTTATTAGAACAATATATATATATATAACATTAAAAATAAAATGTATTTAGCCTGATTTATATCATAACCTACCTATATCTAAGCTGAATTTAAACTAATGGATCTAAGTTCAAGTAAACAGGTTATTTCTTAAAACATGAAGAGACAACAAACTAATTTATCGATTGTATTTTAAGATTAAAAATACTTTTATGCATCAGAAAATTTTCAAATTTCACATACAAAATCTTTATAATGCACAGATATTTATCAAACATTTTTAATGAAAAACTTTATATTTTATCTGTTATTTTCACTAATGATTCTCATTAGGGGTTCGGTCGAGTTGACAGATGTCATAACCACCATAAAAAATTAGGAAATAAATATAAATTATGCCATTTTTGT